GCTCATTTTATGAGGCCAGCATTACCTTGATCCCAAAACCAGACAAAGACCCCATCCAAAAGGAGAATTATAGACCAATATCCCTGATGAACATGGATGCAAAAATTCTCACCAAAATACTAGCCAATAGGATCCAACAGTATATTAAAAGGATTATTCACCATGACCAAGTGGGATTTATCCCTGGGCTGCAAGGTTGGTTCAACATCCGCAAATCAATCAATGGGATACGATACATTAACAAAAGAAAGAACAAGAATCATATGATCCTCTCAATAGATGCAGAAAAACCTTTTGACAAAGTACAGCATCCTTTCTTGATCAAAACTCTTCAGAGTATAGGCATAGAGGGTACATACCTCAATATCATAAAAGCCATCTATGAAAAACCTACAGCGAATATCATACTCAATGGGGAAAAACTGAGAGCTTTCCCCCTAAGGTCAGGAACGCGGCAGGGATGTCCACTATCACCACTGCTCTTCAACATAGTATTGGAAGTCCTAGCCACAGCAATCAGACAACAAAAAGAAATCAAAGGCATCCAAATCAGCAAAGAAGAAGTCAAACTCTCACTCTTTGCAGATGATATGATACTTTATGTGGAAAACCCAAAAGACTCCACCCTGAAACTGCTAGAACTCATACAGGAATTCAGTAAAGTGGCAGGATATAAAATCAATGCACAGAAGTCAGTGGCATTCCTATATACCAACAACAACACAGAAGAAAGAGAAATTAAGGAGTCGATCCCATTTACAATTGCACCCAAAACCATAAGATACCTAGGAATAAATCTAACCAAAGAGACAAAGGATCTGTACTCAGAAAACTATAAAATACTCATGAAAGAAATTGAGGAAGACACAAAGAAATGGAAAAACGTTCCATGCTTATGCATTGGAAGAACAAATATTGTGAAGATGTCAATGCTACCTAGAGCAATCTACACATTCAATGCAATCCCCATCAAAATACCATCCACTTTTTTCAAAGAAATGGAACAAATCATCCTAAAATTTGTATGGAACCAGAAAAGACTCCACATAGCCAGAGGAATGTTGAAAAAGAAAAGCAAAGCCGGCGGCATCACAATTCCGGACTTCCAGCTCTATTACAAAGCTGTCATCATCAAGACAGCATGGTACTGGCACAAAAACAGACACATAGATCAATGGAACAGAATAGAGAGCCCAGAAATGGACCCTCAACTCTATGGTCAATTCATCTTTGACAAAGCAGGAAAGAATGGTCCAATGGAACAAAGACAGTCTCTTCAACAAATGGTGTTGGGAAAATTGGATAGCCCCACATGCAGAAGAATGAAACTGGACCATTTCCTTACACCACACACAAAAATAGACTCCAAATGGTTGAAAGACCTCAATGTGAGACAGGAGTCCATCAAAATCCTAAAGGAGAACACAGGCAGCAACCTCTTTGACCTCAGCCGAAGCAACTTCTTCCTAGAAACATCGCCAAAGGCAAGGGAAGCAAGGGCAAAAATGAACTATTGGGAATTCATCAAGATAAAAAGCTTTTGCAAAGCAAAGGAAACAGTCAACAAAACAAAAGACAACCGACAGAATGGGAGAAGATATTTGCAAATGACATATCAGATAAAGGGCTAGTATCCAAAATCTATAAAGAACTCATCAAACTCAACACCCAAAGAACAAAGAATCCAATCAAGAAATGGGCAGAAGACATGAACAGACATTTTTCCAAAGAAGACATCCAAATGGCCAACAGACACATGAAAAAGTGCTCAATATCGCTCGGCATCAGGGAAATCCAAATCAAAACCTCAATGAGATACCACCTCACACCAGTCAGAATGGCTAAAATTAACAAGTCAGGAAACGACAGATGTTGGTGGGGATGCGGAGAAGGGGGCACCCTCCTACACTGTTGGTGGGAATGCAAGCTGGTGCAGCCACTCTGGAAAACAGTATGGAGGTTCCTCAAAAAGTTGAAAATAGAGCTACCCTATGATCCAGCAATTGCACTACTGGGTATTTACCCCAAAGATACAAAAGTAGGGATCCGAAGGGCTACGTGCACCCTGATGTTTATAGCAGCAATGTCCACAATAGCCAAACTGTGGAAAGAGCCAAGATGTCCATCGACAGATGACTGGATAAAGAAGATGTGGTATATATATACAATGGAATATTATGCAGCCATCAAAAGGAATGAGATCTTGCCATTTGCAACGACGTGGATGGAACTGGAGGGTGTTATGCTGAGCGAAATAAGTCAATCAGAGAAAGACATGTATCATATGACCTCACTGATATGAGGAATTCTTAATCTCAGGAAACAAACTGAGGGTTGCTGGAGTGGGGGGTGGGGTGGGAGGGATGGGGTGACTGGGTGATAGACACTGGGGAGGGTATGTGCTCTGGTAAGCGCAGTGAATTGTGCAAGACTGTTGAATCTCAGATCTGTACCTCTGAAACAAATAATGCAATGTATGTTAAGAAAAAAAAAAGAAGAAGATAGCAGGAAGGGAAGAATGAAGGGGGAAATCGGAGGGGGAGACGAACCATGAGAGACGATGGACTCTGAAAAACAAACAGGGTTCTAGAGGGGAGGCAGGTGGGAGGATGGGTTAGCCTGGTGGTGGGTATTGAGGAGGGCACATTCTGCATGGAGCACTGGGTGTTATGCACAAACAATGAATCATGGAACACTTCATCTAGAACTAATGATGTAATGTATGGGGATTAACATAAGAATAAAAAAATATACATATAAAAAAAGAGATTTCCATTTTTTCTATAAAGGGAAGCCTCCTTTTAATTACTTTTAAATATAAATATTATTTATTCAACCTTTCTAATAATAAAACTCTATGTTATATATAGAAAGCTTTGAAAAACTAAGAAAAAGGCCAAAGAAAATTCTTTTCACTCATAATCCCACCATTACTACTCACTTTAACGTTTGGATATATGTCCTTCTCTTATTTCTCTATGTACATATATTATTTTATAAAATTGGAATTACATTCTACCTACTGGCTATCAATCTTGCTTTTTTACTTATGATTTTCACATAGAGGTAAATCTTTTTATGTAACAGAAAAAAATTTTTTAAAGATTTTATTTATTTATTTCACAGAGAGAGACACAGCAAGAGAGGGAACACAAGCAGGGGGAGCGGGAGAGGGAGAAGCAGGCTTCTCACTGAGCAGGGAGCCCGATGTGGGGCTCGATCCCACGACCCTGGGATCATGACCTGAGCGGAAGGCAGACGCTTAACAACTGAGCCACCCAGGCGCCCCTATATAACAGAAAATTTTTTTAATTTCACAGCATGCTACCAAAAGGAAATATCATGATTTATTGAACATATCCACTATTATTGGAAATTTTCTTCATTTCCAATGTTTCATATTAAACATACTTTTTCAGTGAGTAACCTTGTTAACTCTTTAAATGCCATTTTAATTATTTCCTATGAAAAATTATCAAAAGCCAAATTTCTGAGTTAAAGGCTGGGTAATTTTTTTCCTACTCCCTGCTGAGCAGGGAGCCTGAGGCAGGGCTTGATCCCAGGACCCTGGGATCATGACCTGAGCTGCAACCGCTTAACTGACTGAGCCACCCAGGTGCCCCTAATGATTCAACACTTTGATACAACGCTTGGCGCTCATCACAGGTGTATTCGTTAATCCCCATCACATATTTCACTCATCCCCTCCCCTTGGGTAATCATTTGTTTGTTCTCTATAATTAAGATTCTGTTTCTTGTTTTTTAAAAGTTCTAATATTACAAAATTTCTTGAAGGGATAGTGCTTAATATTTTCAAACTTTGACAAGATAACTCAGACACACTGATACCAAAAAAATCTCTTTCTGCCCCATAATATAGAGATTCCAAATAAGAGATTCCAGCATCTCATACACCTATTTGGATTATTATGCTACTTGAGAAGGAGTTGCTTACACAGTTTTACCAAAATTCATTAGAACTTTAATAAGCAGATTTTTTTTTAGATACAAGAACCTAGACTAACTGGTCTTGTGGTTTCCATAGCAGGCAAGTCAAGTGCTGTTAGATCTGTGGATGTTTGGGGCACTGGGTGGCTCAGTCGGGTGGACGTCTCCCTTCAGCTCAGGTCATGATCCCAGGGTCCTGAGATCAAGCCCCATGCCGGGCTCTCCGCTCAGTGGGGAGTCGGCTTCTCCAACTCCCTCTGTGCTCTCTCCCTGTGTTCTTTCTCTTTCTCTCTCTCTCTCAAATAAGTAAAATCTTTTTTTTTTAAGGTTTTATTTATTTATTTGACAGAAAGAGAGAGCACACAAGCAGGAGGAGTGGGAGAGGGAGAAGCAGGCATCCCGTGGAGCAGGGAGCCCGATGTGGGGCTGATCCCAGGACCCTGGGATCATGACCTGAGCCGAAGGCAGACGCCTAATGACTGAGCCACCCAGGTGCCCTTAAAATCTTTTTAAAAAAAGAATCTGTGGATACGCTACAGAATGATCAAGCAAAATGAGGTTGTCTGTGCTAAGGGGTATTTGTACTAATCACTGTGTTGTGTTTCTGGTGTAAGAACATAAATCCAAAGTCACCTTCTGATAGAAAGCCATGGACAGTGTGGAAATTAAAGGCACAATTTAAGAGCAGTGATTGTGTTTGATGGATGATGAGCCTAAGAAAATAGAAGCCAGCGTCCCTTGCACACACGGCCACTGGCCCTATGCTAAATGCTATGCTTGCACTGCATCATTTCAGCCTCAGGAAAAAACCTCTGGGTAAAGTACCATCCTTATTCCTGTTTCCAGATGGGAAGAAAAAAAAAAAAAAGACCTGGTGCTAACAGAAGTCACCAACAAAGATCTATGTGCGTTTTCTCTCTGGGAAGCACCTGGAGAGTGCAGATTTTGTGTTATTTCTCTCTATCTCCCTTCAGGGCTAGCACAGTGCTCAGCTCATGCCATTAAATGATTGTGGAAGTTACGTAAATTTAGGTTTCTGAATTTGTTCTTCTCTCAGGTGAGCTGGGAGGAATATGCTTCAGCGAGAGTCCACATGGCTTACCTCACAGGGGACAGAGGGATCATGGATGAAGATGGTTCCTTCTGGTGGACTGGTAGAGCTGATGATGTCCCAGGTGTGTTGGGGTCAGAGGCGGTAAATGCTTGTGGTTACTGCTATTGAGCGTGGGGCTGTGGTGGTCTGGGGAGGGCTCTGGACCACCTCAGATACATAAGCATTACAGAAAGTTTAGAAAATGCAAATAAACAAAAATAAAAAAATAAGAGTCATTCACCATCTCATATTTTGGTGTATATTCTTCTAGTCTTCTTTCTTCGTATATAGAAACACTTTTTTAGTAGAAGTGAGTTCAAGGAGAAATGTTCTAGCATAACTTGTCTTTTTCATTCAGCAATATAAGAGAAATGTTTTTCTGTGCAATAATGCATATTTACATAATACCATTTTAAAATTTTTAATTAAGTAAAACATATATTCAGTAAGTACACAAATCTTACATGAACAGCCCAATGAATGTTTACATATTTATGCACCTGTAATCACATTTAGATTAGGACATAAGATATTCCCAGCACCCTAATAGGCTCCCTCATGTCCTCACGCCTCTGTGAAAACTGAACTCCTCCTTTTATGAACTTAGAAGTAAATTTCTGTACCTAAAAGCAGTTTCAGGAATTGGGAAAAGTCCATTAAATCCTAAGAGCAATAAATTCTGAGTGGCAGGGCGCCTGGGTGGCTGAGTTGGTTAAGCGACTGCCTTCAGCTCAGGTCATGATCCTGGAGTCCCTGGATCGAGTCCCGCATCGGGCTCCCTGCTCGGCAGGGAGTCTACTTCTCCCTCTGACCCTCCCCCCTCTCATGTGTTCTCTCTCATTCTCTCTCTCTCAAATAAATAAATAAAATCTTAAAAAAAAAAAATTCTGAGTGGCAGATGCCTGCAAGCAGATTCCATGGGCCATCCCAATTCAGACCTGGCCAACCACAAAAGTCACAGGAATGTTAAATATGACAAGCAATTTGAACATCCCACTCTCTAAATCGCAAACCTGCTTTCCCAGTGTTTTGACACAACTTAAAAAACTCAACTAAAGTTTGCTCAGGAAGTCTCTCCTCTGAGCACTCCCTACTGGAGTTAATTCTGAATGAACCACTTCCTTTCTTTACCTCTAACTGGTCTCAAGGTTTACCTTTAGCCTCTCTTTCCATCAGTAACTATTATTCTGACTTCTAAAACCATAGATTAATTTTGCCTGCTCCCTTATACAAATGGAATCATCCCGTCTGTACTCTTTTGTGTCTGACTTCTTTCTCTCAAAATAATGCCTGTGAGATTTATCCATGTCATTGTATCTGTATCAATAGTTCATTCTTCTTCATTGCTATGTAGAATCCCATTGTATGAATACACCTAAAATTTACTTATCCACTCTACTTTTGGTGAGAGAATGGGATTGATTCCAATCTGGGATAACATGAATAAAGGTGCTTTGAATATTATTCTACATGTCTGTTGCTGAATATATGCAAAGATTGATGATTGATATAGATCTAGGAGGGGAGATGTGAATCATAAGGTATGCATATTTTAAGTTTGATTAAGATATTACCACAGTTTTCTAATTCCCAATTTATACTCCTACCACAGTGGAGGCTGAATAAAAGTTCCATTTGCATAATTATGCTAAGCGAAATAAGTCAGTCAGAGAAAGACAAATATCAGATGATTTCAATCATATGCGGAATTTGAGAAACAAAACAAATGAGCATAAGGAAAAAGAGAGAGAGAGGCAAACCAAGAAAGAGACTTATAACTATAGAGAACACACTGATGGTTGCCAGAGGGGAGGTGGGTGGGGAGATGGGTGAAACAGGTGGTGGGGATTAAGAAGCACATTTGTTGTGATGGGCACTGGATGTTGTTTGGTTTGCTGAATCACTAAACCCTACACCTGAAATGAATATTATACTGTATGTTAACTGGAATTTAAAGAGAAACCTTTTTTAAAAAAGTTCTATTTGCTCCATACCCTCAACAACACTTGTTACTATGAATCTTTTAAACTTTAGTCATCCAGGTAAGTCTGCAGTATTATTTCATAATAGTTTTCATATAATTTTAAGGGACATGTAGTAGTTCATTCTGTCAAGATGATAAAGTTTTTTACTTTACTAATCCCTTATTGTTGGAGGTTTGGTTTTTAGTTTTTTTTCAATTTTTTACTTTATAAAACGCTTGGATGATCATCCTTTAACATAACATTTTTGTATGTCAGTATCAGAAATAAAAAAGGAGTTATCGCTACAGATCTTACACATATTAAAAAGACAGAGGTGCCTGGGTGGCTCAGTTGATTAAGTGTTGGCCTTAGCCAGTTTTGGCTTAGGTCATGATCTCAGGGTCATGGGATTGAGCCCCATGTTGGGCTCTGCACTCAGTGGGGAACCTGCTTGAGATTCTCGCTCTCCCTCACCCTCTACCCCTCTACCAGTCTCTCACATTCTCTCTCTAAAATAGATAAATAAATCTTTAAAAAAAAAGATAACAAGAAAATACTATGAACAGTTTTAGGTCAACAAATTCAACAATGTAGATGAAATGGAAAGATGCCTCAAAAAATAGAACATACCACACAAAATAAAACAAAAATCTGAATGATCCGGTATCTATTTTAATAACTGAAATAATTATTAACAACCTTACCAGAAAGAAAGCCCCAGACCCAGGTGGTTTTACTGGTAAATCCTATCAAACATTTATGGAAGAAATAACATGAAACTTACAAAAACCCTTACAGACAGTAAAGGAGCAAGTAACATTGGATATTATCAGGTTTTAAGTCTTGGCCAATGTGAAAAGTGAATAATCTCAAAAAAAAAAAAAAGTGAGTAATCTTACTTGTCTTTTGATTACTAGTAAGATTGAAGTTTTTCTGCTGTTTACTGTCCTTTTTCGATTTTAAAATCTGAATGTTTATCTTTTTCTGACTCATTTTTTAAAGATTAATTTATTTATTACAGAGAGAGAGTGCATGAGATCGAGGCGGGGGAGGGGAGGACGTGGGGAAGGCAGAGGAAGAGACAGAATCTCAAGCAGACTCCCTGCTGCATGTGGAGCCTGACACTGACGCAGGGCTCAATCCAACAACTATGAGATCGTGACCTGAGCCAAAATTAAATCAAGAGTTAGACACCTAGCTGACTGAGACTGCGCATAGGGTGGTGTGCTGATGATGAAACGAAAAGTCCTCAATTTGCAGTCCTTCCACCTACATGCTATGGCCTATAATACCTGCTTGCCATTAGAGCACTTTTGAGTTAAGGTATTATCTCAAAGATCAAAACTGTGGGAGGAATGGATCACGGATCCAGTCCTTCCTCTATACTGGAAATCACTTACTAGATTTTCAGTAGCGCCCTGAGGCACAAGGAGACAGGATAGTTTGGTTTTGACGGAAAAACAAGATAGGTCATGAAAAACCAGAATATAAAAACCATAAAACTCCACAGTACAGGGACGCCTGGGTGGCTCACTCGTTAAGTGTCTGCCTTCGGCTCAGGTCATGATCCCAGGGTCCTGGGATCGAGCCCCTACGTCGGGCTCCCTGCTCGGCGGGAAGCCTGCTTCTCCCTCTCCCACTCTCCCTGCTTGTGTTCCCTCTCTTGCTGTGGGTCTCTCTGTCAAATAAATAAATAAAATCTTTAAAGAAAAAAGAAACTAATGATGTACTGTATGGTGAGTAACATAATAAAATTTAAAAATTTAAAAAATGGCGATGTCCAAAATTCATCAGATGCCATATTTTTGCCTGCAGATCTAGCTATTATTAAGGTCCCAGGGATATTCTGCACTTGACTCCCTGGGGGCCAGAGGAAACAGCCTTGCTGACATTTCTGCCAAAAAATCTGCTCAAAAGGAGCTTGAGAGTCAGGCCTCTGTCATGTTCTGAAGGGATGTCCTACCAATTGACAGTTTGGAAAAATTGATCAGATATGCCCAACAACTGGGCCCAGAGAAGGAGAAACAATGTTGGGAATCTAATGACTGATAAAAAGAGAGAATTCTGCCTTGGATCAAGTAACAATCTGGCCCTCCCCAAAATTCTAAAATTCCCATGCCTGACAATAGTACAAACATTAAACCATTGGTCTAATAACAAACTGATAGTGTTCATGAACCAATATTGGTGGGGAAATATTAAGAAGGCTGCAAAAAAGTGCCTACCTTGCTCCTCCCATTGGTCCAAAATACAATCCTGGGAAAGAAATCCATACCTCCCGTGGGCATTTAAACTGCCCAATGAACCCTTTGAGATTTGGCAAGTGGATTTCATGCCACTTCCTCATCTCATGGAAATAAGTGTTAGTCAATGTGCCTATGTTTCCTCACTGGACCAAAGCTTTCCCTTGGAGAAAGGCCAATGACTCGTGTGTGGCTAAAATCCTGTTAGAAAAAATTATCCCTCCCAGGGAAGCCCTCTTGAACTACACAGTGACCAGAAAACCCATTCTACCGTGCAGGGCCCTCACCCCGTTTGTGATGTTTGGCCAGTTTTACAACACTTTCATTGTACATTACTAACCCCTATCTTCACAGATGGTCCAATGCAATAATGGCAATACTGGGGACTCAATGAGCAAAATGTGCAAATTTTCCAACTACCTGGGACAAAGGCATTGCTGTTACTCCTTCGAAATCTCAAGTCCACACCCTTTGGAACTCAGACTCTCACCCTTGGAGACAGTCACTGGACATCCATGCATTCGACCACTGCCCCTTTTGACCCACAGGTGGGAAAAGGGGATATATTTCAATAATGCAAACATCTAGTTGCTTCTATTAAAACTAACCATGTTGTAGCAGAGCAATCTTTTCACAGGCCACTCCCAGCGGACACTTACCTTGATCATCACACCTTGCAACCTGGAGAGTCTCTCCATTGGAAAAGACACCTCCACAGAGATTCTCTTCAACCTCCCTTGAGAGGCCCTTATCACATACTGCTAACCAAACCTTGTGCTGCCAAATCCCAGGGAATGGACTCTTGGGTCCACGGGACACATTTAAAGAAGGCACCAAACCCTGACTGGACCTGTACACCAGCTGGTGACAAGAAGGTAAATACTTCCCAAATTGCAATAGAAAACATCTGGGGAGACAGCTTGCCCCACATGTCCAGACCAGGCCTGCATTCCTTTTCTCACTGTTGCTCCTTCTACCTCTTTTGTGCAAAGAACATGCCATTTTCTGCATATCCCAGTCTCTTGCAAAAGGAGGAAACCTCTTTGGATTATGATCTTCCCTAAAATCGCCTCCTTTTGATCTTGTGAGCATTTCTAGAGGTTTAGAAGGTTCAGAATTCAAAAGTCTTTCTTTTACCTCAACTACTAACTGAATCCTGATTCTAATCCAAATGCATGGTTTCTGAATTTACAACATAACAGACCACTACTGATAACCCATATAGTTCTAAACAGTTCTTTTGAAAGAACAATACTGTTTTGAAATGTCCCAGAAGTATTCCTATTCTTGCAACAAGTTCTCTAACTATTGCTTCATGTTCTTCAGTGTACTCTATGTTCCCTAATGTGCTCAGTGATTTCATTCAGTGCATTCCTGCAGTATTTGTCTGTTTTGTTTCTAGCCACTGGGGGAGGACACTTCCAGGAGGCATACAGGACTCCGGGTTTGCCTTCAGTCCAAACAAGTGCCAATAAATATTTTCAGTTGGCTCCTTTCAGACCTAGGGTCCTGGATTAAAACCAGCATATGGTTTGGAATTGTCATCTTGTTTTTGATTCTGTACTTGCTGTCTCTCAGTCCTTTGTAGAAACACTGTCTCCAATGAAGTGATGCTGGCTCACTGGTCTCAGTCTTGAGCAGATACAGACTTCACATGGGAAGTTCGTGAGTTTCTCCCATCTAACCCTCCCTGTTCCTCAGGTGTCACTTGAGTAGTCTACAACTGCCATGCACATTCCCTCCAACATGAGACATGCCAATCTGAAAAAGCTTTGCTGGCACTGAAACACAAAACCACTAACTACAAAGAACTTGACTGTTGATCAGGAAGCCTTCCAGGGACACCTGGGCGGCTCAGTCGATTAAGCGTCTGCCTTTGGCTCAGGTCATGGTCCCAGGGTCCTGGGATTGAGTCCCACATTGGGATCCTTGCTCAGCGGGGGCCTGTTTCTCCCTCTGCCTCTCTGCCTCTCTGTCTCTCTCTCATACATACATACAAATAAATAAAATCCTAAAGAGAAAAAGAAATTCTCCCAAGGAAACTTTTTTAAAGTTCTTATTTACAATTAGTCCACATACACTATGATACTCATTTCAGGTGTACAATCTAGCGCTTCAACACTTCCAGGCAACACCTGGTGCTCATCCTAATCCCTATCACCTATTCAACCCATTCCCCCAAACACCTCCCCTCGGTAACAACAGGTTGTTCTCTCTACTTAAGAGTGTTTCTTGGTTTGACTCTTTTTTCTTCTCTTGGCTCATTTGTTTTTTTTTTCTTTATAAACTCCACAGATGAGTAAAATCATACAGTATTTATCTTTCTCTGATTTATTTTGCTCATCAAAGCAAATCTTGATCAGAAGGAGTGAGGGTGTTACACAAATACAATGAATCATGGAACACTACATCAAAAACTAACGTACTGCATGGCGACTAACGTAATAAAATTTTTTTAAAAGGGTAATTTTGAAAACTCCTAACGGGAAATGTCACAAAACACAGGCAGGAGGTTTGGGCAGGGGGAGCCCCCACACACTACCCCTCCAAATAAAGTGGGGACCCAACAGGAAGACATGGACTTGACCTCGCACATGGATACTCCACTACTCCAGCTAGCAGAACTCTATTCTCATCTCTATATCCCCCCCTCACCTCCTCCAACAGGGCTCACCCACGAGAAGCTACAACACTTGGAACTCCCAGATGCCACCAATGGACCTTCGGTTCTTAACAGCCTTCCAAATTGCCCCCTTTCCTCCTGAAAACAGGGAGCCTCTCTGATATTCCCCAATGTGCCTACGGTTGAATCACAGCTTCTCTGTCCTGCATTCAAGTCTCTTTCCTTCCAAAGAAACCCGACCTGGGCTGATAATTCCCTGAGAGTTTCTACCTTTAAGGTTACAAACTGGACGGTACTTGGTTTTTACCTGGGGCTCTGGTTCCAGCAGAAATCAGAAAGTGGGATCCCAGCTCATTCTTCTAGAAGGTCCTGAGAGGCAGCAGTTAGCGTCTTCACCTCCCAACTAAATGCTGCTCCCCTTCCTCTTAATTGGAGTCAGGATTTCTCCCCAGAAACAAGCCTGCATCTGTAACAAAACCACCACAGCATCTCTGACGGGGCGTCGCGGGACCCCTCCATCCACGGATGCCCGAGTCAAATACCTCTTGTTCAAATACCCTCAGGGAAAATAAGGACCAAACCAGGGCAACAGCCCCCCAAATGCAAGCGACTGTGCTGCTCACCTACCAGCAGGGCCTGGGAAGCCGCCCAGAGCCCCCTGCTCAGCACTCAGCCAACAAGGCTGCTTCTCCTTCGCTCCTCAGGAGGCACCAAGTTGCTGCAAAGGCCCCAGGTTCTCCCAGGGCGGCGGCAGAACTTGCTGGTAAACGCAGCCATGGCTCTCGGAGGGTAGTGGGTCCTCGGGGGGCAGCAGAAACCTCTCCTGCCCTGCGGTGCCCTGGGTCAGAGAAGGCCATGAAGTCTTCCTACAGCAGGCAGTTGCTGCGCCCTCAGGGAAACCGCCCCCCCCCCGTCGGAGGTGCGCGCGCGCCCCCGCCCCCCCGTCGGAGGTGCGCGCGCGCCCCCTGCCGGCTGCCCTGGGAATCCCTACAATTCTCCAAGCCATGGCTGCTCAGCTGCAGGCACTGAGGGTGCTTGGGTCCCGCCAAGCCTGTTCTCCAGACTGGGACAGGGCTTTGTGACGGTGCCTCAGACACAAAGACATCTGTACCTTCTCCTTTCTGTGTCACTGAAGAATGAAACCGATTTTGTCAATGTCACTAGGGAACTGCTAGCGCTGCCACCACTCCCCTCCAAAATACAGACTGCAAATTGACATAATGCAAACTCACGTGCTTGGGTTTACCCACCAAAAGGTTCCTAGTACATAAAACACTGACACCCAGTACACTATCTTAATTTTGCTTTCAATCTTCTCCCTCTTAAGAACAGAATAATTTCCGGTCAGGTCAGGATATTGAAATTCCATTTAGGTAAGACATCATCTAGCACCATGATCTTGATCGTGACAGCGTAGTTTCAACTTTGCCAATCAAGTGTTTGGGAACACATAGGTGACAGGGTCCAAATGCAAACCTAGAGGGAGCTACACATGCCTTATGAATTACTGCATGTCTCCTGAGATAATGTTTTCAATGAAAAGTGATTTAGACATGGAAGATGGATGAAATCGTTTCCATCAGTCTGGGAAGGAACCCATTTTACCTTCAAATACTAATTGCCATCCGGTCACAACTAGAAGAAGCTTGGTGAAGTATGACGTTTCTGCTTGGATGTAAGAGAATGCTTGGGGTTTGTTTTTTGGTTTTGTTTAAGATTTTTTTTTGACTTGTTCCCTCTCTCACTCTGAATGAGAGACAGTGAGAGAGGGAACACAGGCAGGGGAGTGGGAGAGGGAGAAGCTGAGCCGGGAGCCCGATGCCGGGTTTGATCCCAGGACTCTGGGATCATGACCAGAGCCAAAGGCAGATGCTTAAAGACTGAGCCACCCAGGCGCCCCGAATGCTTGGGGTTGGAAACTGTCCACCTACCATCCTGCATCAGGATCCACAGTGGACATGAGGATAGCAACCCCCCCATCCTGCTGCACATTGCTAGCTCCGGAGGGAGAACACGGACCTTATTTTCGAATACTTTGGGTCGAGATCAGCAATGCATCTGTGCCAGTTCCAGGCTGCAGGATCTGGGGCCTGGTTTTGGAAATTGAGCAAGGCCCCTCTGGTATAGGAGGGCTCCCTGGCCCACGGCCTCCACACACCTGGACCACCTCCCCCTTTCCTCCTTGCAATTCCTCATTGTCCCTTCTTCTCTCGACCCCTATCTCCCTCTGATTCTTCCTCACCCTCTCTCAGGCTCCTGGTGGTGCCACACTCCCTGGGTGTTGTCCAGAAGTCCCTTGAGAGAGAAGCTTATGAACTTTATGAATTAAAATGGTCATGGAGATCCCACACAGATCAAGCATGAGATGCAGCTTGGCATTTTTCCATTTATGTGCATAATGTAAACCCCACACTAACACCTAATAAGGTGACAGAGATAAGGGGCATTTCTAGGGATGTTTAACGTGTAACACCTTCTCCCTTAATATGGGATGATTTGAACACCATAAATCTTTCTATCCAAAGGCAAATTCCCAAGACAGAAGAGGTCTATTTTACTGCCATTTATTCAGTATCATTTTCATCCAGTTCCCACTGATTTTTCCTTTCAGATTTCCTTCTGTAGTTTTGTTCAAAAGGCTATTCAATTACCAAACATATGTGGCAATGCTAGTTATCATTTCTTCAATGATCCAGCACATTTGCAACTGTGATCAAAGAACATCCTTTGTGGGTTTCACTCTTCTGAAATATATTGAGACTTGCTTTATGTCCAATTCATGCTTAAATTTTATAAACATATGATATGTCCTTAAAAATAATGACTCTCCTTTATCTTCTTGGTAAAATAACCTATAGATTTCTGTGTATAACTGTATGTATTAATATATATACATATTTCTGTATCTGTATATATTCATTTTATACGAATGTAGAATAGTTTTATTTTTTAACTTCTATTTTATCTTATCTAATATCTAAATGCATAATTATTATACATGTATTTTATGTCTTTATTTTGTATCTCCTTCTATATGCTATGTACTTTATATGATTATGTATCTACCTCTACATTCAGATGTTTTAACTGTCCAATCTTCTGTATCCTTACTAGTTTGGGGGCTGCTGAGAGAGGGCTGTGAAAATTTGCCACTCGAGGATTTTATTTTTCCTGCATTTTTTTTGAAAGATTTTATTTATTTATTTGAAAGAGAGAGCAGAGAGAGAAAAAGCATGAGTGGGGGGAGGGGCAGAGGGAGAGGGAGAAGCAGACTCCCGCTGAGCAGGGAGCTGGATGTGGGGCTCAATCCCAGGTCCCTGGGATCATGACCTGAGCTGAAGGCAGACGCTTAACTGACTGAGCCACCCAGGCACTGCAAAAGCTTGCCCTTGTTGGTCGGTTGGTTGGTTTAGAAAGTTGTGGATTTTTATCTGGATCTTTTTGTCCATTCGCATTCAATGGGACTTTTTCTCCTTGACTTTACATTTATCATCTCATGATGTGCGTTCTATTTGTCCAGACTTCTCTAGTTTTTCTTCTCCTTTTAAAATCTGTTACTATCTGATATTATGCCCTTCACTTTGATCCTGCCTCATGAGCCACATGGAAAAAGTCTAGTTTCACTGTAAGTAAGTGGTGTTAAGTTCACCGTGGTTCCCACAGTCCATATCTTGTGCCCTAACATCATTTCCCCTAAAGACCATCTACTGATAACTGGTGGCTGAATTGTTATGTTTGTTTAAAGGTGATTTCTTCTTTCCACTGTCTACTTGTATCTTTAATTCTGAGCAATCTTTTGTAAAGATCTTTCCCTTCTCTCAATCTCGATTTTCAAAGCTTTTCTTAAGGAGTACTCTAGACTCATGGATTATCATTCAGTATTGGGAAACTATTCCTGCCATGATTCATTTTGATCTGCAGGTTGTCTTCATTTGGACAGTGGTGACCCTTTCAAGCTGGTTCCTGCATCCTTTTCACATGAAGAGGTCCTCATTCTTGGTCCTCAGAAGTTCAGGCACGGAAACCCAGAGCCTGAGAAAGGATTCACATCTGCTTGATAAAAAAATCTCTCAGTCTACATCAGAGTCCAGTAAGTTTGGGGAACAACCTGATGGGTCCGATAAAGGTTCTGTTTGGTAAATAACCTCATCAGAGGTGGAGTAAGAAGCCACTGGCCTGAGGTCAATGCTGAGTCTTCCCCCAAGACAGGCCCTCTGAATCTATTCTTCCCGGGGTAGGCCTTTTATTCTGTTTTCTCTTCTCCACGAAGAATATTTTGAGTTCTATGAGGATTTAAATACCCCTTTGCTCCCTTCACCAGAAAGAATCAAGTGGCATGTAGCTCTATAAAAGCTCATAGAGTCTTGGGTAGAAGGGAAGGCTCTCCGTTGGTTGGAACCCTAGCTCCCTCACTCTCTAGCTGTGTGCCTTTCTCTGAGCCTCAGCATGCTCATCTCCAAAATGGGGGTGACAATGAGATTTTTCTACTGTAGGGCACTGTCGCCTGAGAGCAGAATGATTACTGACGCACACCTGACATAAAGCACTCAATAAGCCTGACATCCTATTCCTTACCTTTCCTTGCCTTGCATTTTTTTAGCTACTGTCTTTATAACTGGACCATTTCTCAGGGCAAGGCCTAAGCACTGGGTGTGTCTCCCGACCACCACCCCTCCCAAAATATGCTGGTGCTCTTCCCAGTGCCTGGCAAAAGCCTCGAGTTCAACGTAATTGTGTTGAATTCAATTACTTCTTTGCCATAGATCAATATCCAGGCAATCCAGGACTCCAGACTGGGGCCCATTCCCTCGTGCAGTCCCAGGACTTAAGTAAAGGCAGAGCAGGACCTTCAGTCATACTCACATCCCCTCCTACTAATCAGAGGGGATCAGGGGAGATGGAGGACCCAAGGAACCTCTGACAGCTGAAGGGTGGGAGTCTGGAGCCAAGATGGATCGTGGGAAACCTTGGGGAGCAGAAAAGGAGGACGTGACACAGAAAGTGGGAACAGGGGAGGTGGGGTTGGATGACAGTGAGTCTAGGACTGGAGACAAAGATAAGGACTGGGGATGTATCTAGGGTGGGCATATAGCCACACAGTACCCTTATGGACAAAACAGGAGTCAAAGAAGAACCTTCAAAGGCTAGGGTATTTGAGCTCAATAAT